TTTTTTTTTTTTGCGGTACGCGGGCCTCTCACTGTTGTGGCCTCTCCTGTTGTGGAGCACAGGCTCCGGACGCGCAAGCTCAGCGGCCATGGCTCACGGGCCCAGCCGCTCCGCGGCATGTGGGATCTTCCCGGACTGGGGCACGAACCCGTGTCCCCTGCATCGGCAGGCGGACTCTCAACCACTGCGCTACCAGGGAAGCCCTTGAATATTTTTGTTTCATTCCACCTTCACTGTGATCACCCTGATCCAGGACACAATCAGCTCTTATCTGGACCACTGTGGCCATCTTCTATATAAGATTCTATTCCCTCCCTGTCCCATTTTGATATGCCTTCCACATGATAGTGACATCCAGCTTAAGAGATCTGTTCCCTTCCTCTCCAATCCTCAAATAGAAAAGTTACAGTGGAGAAACCTGGCAGACTCAACATTAATTAAGTGATCAAAGTTTGTAACATAATGAAACAAATCAATATTCTGTGCCAACTGATATGACAAATTGAGGACACATCAATTCTGTGTTACTCCTGCCAGAAGTGTGTAATCTTAATCTAATCATGAAGAACCAAAAGACAAATCCAATTTGAGGAACATTTAAAATAACAAGCCTGTACTTTTCAAAAATGTCAAGATCAATAAAGACAGAAATGTTAAGAAAGTATTCCAGATTAAAGAAGACCAAAGACATGTAAGGGCAGGGGATGTGGGGCATAAAGAAACTTATTAGGACAACTGGCAAATGTTTATTATTATAAATTGGAGATTAGACAATAGTACTGTATCAATGTTAAATTCCCTGAATTATACTATGGCTATTTAAGGGACTGTCTTTGTTTTTAGGAGATGCATGCTGAAATAATTAGGGGTAAAAGACGATGTCTGCAACTTACTCTCAAATGATTCAGAAAATGACAAATACACATACGGAGATGGAATGATAAAGTAACTGGCAAAAAGTTGACAATTGATGAATGTGAATGAGGGGTATACAGGTGTAATTTGTACTATTCCTGCAATTCTTGTTAATTTAATACCACTTAAATTTTAAAATCCATTGCAGTAAGGAAAACAAACAAACAAACCACCTCAACAAGGCCTACAAGCCCTCAAGAAAAGACAATACTTCCCAATGTACACAGTGCACACCAGGGCATGTGGAAGAGAGGGTGAACCACTTGTGGACTAAATTAATGGAAAGTAGGGGCAAAGGTTAAGGTGTGCCAAGAGCTCTGATACTGATGGGGTCAAAGGGGGAGGTAAATTGAGGAGAGAGAGTGGGCTTTCCTCTGGAGTTTCCCAAAGCTGTGCCACGTTTCATGTTTGTCTCAGAGCCTTGGTGGGCACTTCGAGGCAGTGAACAAACATGTCATCTAACTGGGGACAGGGATTACTGCATGAAAGAGGTTAAAAATCATTCACTGAGGGCCTTGCTGCCAGGAATCCTGGGGCCATTTTCTCCTCTTTTCACAGACCTCTCAGGGCCAGCAGATTCCAAAGAGGGCAGAATGGGGAGCCAGGAGCAATGAGGACTGAGTCACATGCCAGAAATCTTCATACTCAGTCTCTGCAGATCCACCCTTACCTAAAGGAAAATAAAAGAGCCATGAGCCAACCTTGACCTGAAAGACCAAGGAAAACGTAGAGCATGTTCATCCCGCAACCTCTGCACTCAGAGAGGCTTTGCAGAGTTACAGCCAGGCCTGTGACTTACAATCACCTGTGATACCAAATTCACAACTGGGACACCTCCACCTTTAAAACCTGGAACTATAACTTCCAAAGAGACAACAAAGGAAATACAACTCCCCTACAGCCCTCACTGGCCAACAGTGTGGAGAATTCTCTTTTGCAGATAACTGTGGAGGTGATTATAGGTGTGATATTCCTGGCTTTGCTACCCCAGAGGCAAGTACCCAGGGGAAGGTCATTTAACTCCACAGCACCTGGGAAGCTTAGAGAAGCTGCTGACCACTTTAAGCTCTGGGGTTTCTCAGATGCAAAGTGGCAGCAGGCCTTTGGCAATTCATAGAGGGCCTGGCTGGGGGAAGAGCCCACCCTGGTGGCTAGCACAATCTGTCCATCCCTCTGATAACACACCCCTTGGCTCACTTATAGAAAAAGCCCTCTGAGTCAGAGGTGAAGGTGGCCTCACAGGAGCATCTACAACAAAAGGGGGGATCCAAGACTCTGACCCTCCTCCTCAAAGTCCAAGTCACCTCCAAACTAAGGGATGTCAGAACATATTGTCACCATAAAGACCAAGACTCATGACCCTCACTATATCCCAAACCCAGGGGCACCCACTTCCTAATTCCTCCCCACATCTCCCAAACCCAGGCATGCACAGATCTAGCTGCTCAAACACCTCAGAACATACAGCCCCAATACGCTCCCCCAGTGGACTAAGAATGCCGCCTGCCATATCAGTAAACAAAGGATGTTGTGGCCAGCAAGCCAGTACCCACTGCAGCCACCCACAACTGTGAACCCTGAAGGGATTCACGATGGAGAAAAGCAGGATACTGGCCCTAGATAGCTAAGGTGCATATCAAAGGAACGATTTCAATGAGCCCAGACTCTCGCATCTTCCCATACATAGAAAAGCGCTAAATTCATTAACTTGAGATGTCTGGTTTTTTCCTAATTAACAGTAATCTTGTGATGTTCCGACTGCCTGGTTTTTGTTGCAAGCCTCCCCCCCTTACCTCTTCAGAGTAGTCCCTCAGAGCAGCGGTCCCCAACCTTTTAGGCACCAGGGACCACTTCCGTGCAAGACAATTTTTCCACGGGGTGGTGGGGGGGTACGGACATGGTTCGGGAGGTAATGCGAGTGATGGGGAGCGATGGGGAGCGGCATACAAAGCTTCTCTTCCTCGCCGGCTGTTCACCTCCTGCTGTGCGGCCTGGTTCCTAACAGGCTGCGGACCTGTACCCGGTGGTGGCCGGGGTGTTGGGGACCCCTGCCTTAGAGATAAGAGACTGGGTCCTGGGCTTAAGTCCTCAGAAAGCTCACCAAATAAAACATAATTCTCAACTTTTAGGCTGTGCTTTTTTTTTTCAGTCGACACCCCCAAATCCCTGGACCCTGCCTCACTGTCCTGTCCCCACCAACCTGGGGTTGCAATGCACCAGCGGAGCCTTCCAAACCAAAATGCCCGTCATGGGCTCTCCCCTAAATCCAAGGACCCCTGCCTCCAACCCCCCACCCAAGGATGCCGGGAGGCCCACCAACAAGGGGACACGCCATCCCCTTGTTGGTAGTAGATGGGGGTAAATGGTAGTCGCAGCCATCTACCCCCACGTCAATAAAACCAAGAAGCCCCTGCGTCGCCCCTCGGACCCCGCGACTCCCGGACCTTCGGTTTTCACGTTCCCCCTTCGCAGGGCCCGGGGACCCCTGGCTATTCCTGCTGTCCTCAGCCAGCGAGGGGACTCACCTCTCTAGGCCTGGAGGTATTGGGCATGGAGGTCGCCACGGGTCCTTCACCAGCCGCTGTTCCACGGAACCAGCGCGACCTAACCGCGCCGGGTACCCAGAAGGCCCAGCCGGTGGTGCCCGTGCGCAGGCAGAAGACGCGGCCAGGCGGCGGGACTACATCTCCCAGAAGACCTTGCGCAGGTTGGGGCGCTCTCCAAGGCCCTCCCCAAGGTGCGATGGGGGCGTGGCGAGGCCGTCACAGGTGAACTCGAAGTCTCACGTGGGATCATCCACCTTGCTAGGACTGGACATGCAAAACCACACGGGTGCCTCCACCCACCGTCTATAACCAGGAATGAATGAATGAATGAATGAATAAATAAATAAATAAATAAATAGACAAACAGTAATTTCTGTATTTAGACATAGTTATATTTAAACTAATATCCTTTCACATAAATATTTGTATTTTCTTAACCTACTTTTTAAATCAGATGTATATTGAACATTAAGGGGTTTTCCACAATATTCTGTAAATTCTACATGCCACTTATGTAATTAATGTTTCTCTTTATCTTTAGGTTGTTTCAAATGACTGGTATTACAGGCCACGGTCACTTGTGTTTGGCAGAGACTCAAAGGCAGGCAGAGGAGTGGCAAAACTTTATAGTGAAAAAAGGGAAGGCTTCAGGTATATTCTGAATGGAGGTTATTGGCATAGAGAAGCTGGAGGTGGGCCAACTACAAGCAGTGCAACTTATGTGATTGGTTTGGGGGTGATGGTTTGGCTTTCTCTGGTTGGTTCTGAGTTGGAAGCAGAGGCAAAAAATAGGGAAGCTGGTATTGACCAAGTTCTGACTGTTCTGCCAAAGTTGTAGTTTGGTTTTCTGGTTGGAAACCAGCTGTTTACTGCAGAGTTTGTGGGTCAGAGTTCTGTTGTCGTATACGATCTGGTATTGTGTTTGTATATTCAGTCTCTCAAGTTTAGTGGTTTCAAACAACAGCAACCATTTATTATCTTTCATGGTTTCTCTGGGTCAGGAATTCAGAAACAGCCTATCTGGACAGCTCTGGCTCAGATTTTTCATGATAGCTGAACGTGGAACAGTGTGAAGTTCCAGGAGCAACTGGGAGCTGGCTGGACATCTCTTGTTTCATGTAATCTCAGGGTTTCTCCAGGTGGTATTTCTGTGTAGGCTAGTTTAAGCTTCTTAATAGCATGGTAGCCTCAGACATCTTACATTGCATCTCAAGGTTCTCAAGGCAAGAGTCCCAAGAAAGATCCAGATGGAAGTTGTAACACCTTTTATGTCTAGCCTCAGAATCACATAACATCATTTCCACTTACTCACAGTTTTAAAAGCCCATCCAGATTCAAAAGGAGGGGACATGGACTCCACTTCCTGATGGGAAAGTGGCAAGGTTCTGGAAGACCATGTGGAAACAAAAATATAGTCATAGCCATTTTTGGAAAATACGATTTGCCATAAACTGCAAGCAGGTCAAAGCAGAAGTTTTAATTTTCAATCTGCCATGAAGACTACATATTTATATTACTGAGCTGAAGCCATTTGTAGTAAGTAGGAGTGATCAGAAAAATCATGATCTCTAATTAAATTTTAAGTGGATCAAAGAAGATCTAGCTCCACTGAGCATGTTTAAAGAGACAATGAGAGACAAAAATGAAGCTGTTTTCTTTTTAGCCTCTTGAGTATTGGGTCCAAAGTGATAATAATTGATAAAGATTATTCTGCACAATTAGGGTATTATGGCTAACTGGGGTCAATCAAAAAAGTCACAAAGAACTTCCTTAAGTTCTCCATGAAAAAGAGATCTGGGACTTCCCTGGTGGCCCAGTGGTTAAGACTCTGCACTCCCAATGCAGGGGGCCTGGATTCCATCCCTGGTCAGGGAACTAGATCCCTCATGCCGCAACTAAAGATACCACATGCTACAACTAAAGATCCCGCATGTGGCAATGAAGATCCCGCGTACCGCAAATAAGACCGAGCACAGCCAAACAATAAATTAATTAATTAAAAAAAAAGAAATGTGAGAAAGTTGGTTTAAAACAACAAGCATTTATAGTCATTCACACATCTGCAGGTTGGCTGGGGGTTAGCTTTTCCTCGCTGGGTTAAGCTGAGGTGATTTGACTGGGGCAGCTCTCATTGTCTCTGGACAGTAAGGTAGCCAGGGCACATATTTCTCATGGCAGTGGCTAAAAATGAAGAGGGAAAGTGGAAATATACAAAACCTCTTAAGGCCTAGGCTCAGAATGTGCACATTGTCCAAAGCAACTCACGTGGCCAAATCCAAAATAAAGGGCAGGGAAACTATATCTCGCACATAGTGCACTCAAGGCAAGAGTGTTGTGACTCATTGGTTTTTTTCCCAAATAGTCGCAATAAGATCTCCCTATCTCACGTATTCTTTCAATATGACTTTGAGAAGAAGAGAAATTCAGTGGTCCCTCTCCTTGAACTAGTTGAGCCTGTGGTTGGAAATGATAGTATATGACATCCAAGGATAGGTCACAAAAGGCAATATAGGTAGGCGCCCACTCTGGAGCCCCTGAAGTGATGTGGCCACTCTGCTGTGCCCAGGGCAGGTGGATGGGGATTCAACATGAGAGACCAGTGCCTGACCCCAGGCCCATGTGCCTGGGCTGTGGCTGTGACCTAGAGACACTGCCAGTTCATGGGACCCTCCAGTTTTTGAAGCCGCTACTCTGCTTGAGTTAGATCTCACCCAGCACTCTATCTTTCTCTATGTACTTTGTGCGAATGTGTTTTGGAACATCAGTTAGGAGTCTATGGGTGAAATCTAGCTTTCATTCATGAGTGAGGACTTATTCTTGACACAAGTATTTTAAAAGAAAAATCTTTACAATAGCCTCAGTGGTACTTAGTTCTGTTCCCACTACTGCTTCTTTTTTTTGTTTGTTTTGTTTTTTGCGGTACGCAGGCCTCTCACTGCTGTGGCCTCTCCCGTTGCGGAGAACAGGCTCCGGACGCGCAGGCTCAGCGGCCATAGGCTCACGGGCCCAGCCGCTCCGCGGCGTGTGGGATCCTCCCGGACCGGGGCACGAACCCATGCCCCCTGCATCGGCAGGCGGACTCTCAACCACTGTGCCACCAGGGAAGCCCCTCCACCACCGCTTCTTGTTTTGCCCTGTTACAAGTAGAGAGTGACAGTGGTTCTAATTCTGAGCCTCGAAAAGGTAAAGATTGGAATACTAGAAAGTCTCAAACTTTGGGAAAAAGTCAACTACAAATGAGAAGAGGAGAGAAAAGAAGAAAAATGAAGGAATAGCAATAGAGTGAAGTAAACGAACTCAGGAATCTTGCTTTTAAGAAAATTACCCAGAAATCCTCCCATACCATGTGTAACACTCAACATGAGCTTTTATTGTTAAACCCAGCACAGAATTCAGGAGAACATACAGATGCCCAACAGGCATATGAAAAGGTACTCAACATTGCTAATTATTAGAGAAATGCAAATCAAAACTACAATGAGGTATCACCTCACACCGATCAGAATGGCCATCCCCAAAAAGTCTACAAGTAATAAATGCTGGAGAGAGTGCAGAGAAAAGGAAATCCTCCTACACTGTCTGTGGGAATGTAAATTGGTGCAGCCACTATGGAGAACAGTACAGAGGTTCCTTAAAAAACTAAAAATAGAGTTACCATGTGATCCCACTCCTGGGTATATATCTGGAAAAAAAACCCCTCTAATTTGAAAAGATACATGCACCCCAATGTTCATAGCAGTGAGAGAGGCTGGCACCTAGGACTTGGGACTCTATACTGGAGTGCTTGCACTTGGACAAATGTCTCCTCCAGCAACAAAATACAAAGGAAACCATAAGAGACTAAAAATAACTGCACACATGCAGAGTCAGGGCGATTATGAACAATAAGATACAAAAAGGCCAAAACCCTGAGGTGCTGGGAGCAAATGATCCCTGAACATGGCCCGACCCACTGATCGGCTCCTACTCTCACGCATTTAAGGGACCAGCTGCCCCTCCTCGAGGATCGGGCAAGGATGTCTGCTACTTGTTCTTGCTCTCTTGTGCTGCAGCATGAGTCCCAATAAAGCCTTGCCTGAATTTGTCATCTGGCCTCTTATCAATTTCTATTGATTAAAGAGTCCAGGAACCCTGGTCAGTAGCAGCAGCACTATGTACAATAGTCAAGACATGGAAGCAACCTAAGTGTCCATTAACAGATGAATGGATAAAGAAGATGTGGTATATATATACAATGGAATATCACTCAGCCATAAAAAAGAGCAAAATTTTGCCATTTGCAGCAACATGGGTGGACTTGGAGGGAATTATGCTAAGTAAAATAAGTCAGACAGAGAAAGATAAATACGGCATGATGTCATTTACATGTGGAATCTAAAAAATACAACAAACTAGTGAATATAACAGAAAAGAAGCAGACTCACAGATATAGAGAACAAACTAGTGGTTAGCAGTGGAGGGGAGGGGCAAATACAGGAGTGGGGGAGTGGGAGGCATAAGCTATTGGGTATAAGATAGGCTCAAGGATGTATTGTACAACATGGGGAATATAGCCAATGTTTTGTAATAAGTGTAAATGGAAAGTAACCTTTAAAAATTGTATAAAAATAAAAAAATAAAGTGGGGAAAAAATGGAGCTATGTGGCCATTGTGGACGTGGTTTCAGACATATTCCTGCATCACTGAGAGCTTGAATTTTTTGAACTATATCAAACTCAAGGACACCACCAGCCAAGTTTTCAAAACAATATCTGCTAGCAGCTGCTAGCTATAACCTTATATTTGTGTGGCTATGTAACTTTGAAACTGTGTAATCATTTCGAGCCCCAACCAAGCCTTGCTTAACAAGCACTCTTTTCGTGCCAGCTCCAATCCTAACTCTTGAAAAGCAATTTATGTAAACTTGTGGTTTTTTGCCTTTATAAGCTTCCTCCATTCTGTAGTCCAGCAGAACACAGTTTAGGTGCTTCTTAAATCTGTATCTCCTTGGCTGCAGTCCTAACAAACCCCAAATAAACACCTCTTCATTTTAATCAGATCTCCTTTTCTGAAAATTTGGTTAACAGAGGATGAAAGAGAACAATTTGTAGGTTATAATGAAACAGATTATTGTACA